CGGACTGTGGAAACCAGCCCTGTGCCCCCTGGCCTGTGGGGGTGAGGACTTAGGGTTAGGGGCCCCTGGGGAGCCTTCCTGGGCAATGGGCCAGGGGTCTGTGGGCGATTGGCCAGGGTAGCTGTGGGCAGGGGCCGGGGGTCACAGCCTGTCTCTCCTTGTCCCTGTTCAAGGTTGTCCCCAACAGCCATGGAGTCGGACCAGGGGAGGGCTGGGCACGAGAGTCGCTCAGGGCTCTACGAGGCCCACGGTCGCTGTGCTGAAGCCTCGTAGAGCCCTTCTCTTTCTCCATCCTCGCGGGACCTTGGGCACCCATGTGTACATCGGTGCCTGGTGCATCTTTTTTCCTTATTGGGTCATTGGAAAAATCATGACACATTTTCTTTTCTTAAGAGTTACTTATTTTTATTTTATATTATTTATTATTTATTATTATTATTATTATTAATTTGGCCAGAGAGAGAGAAAGGGAAAGTGAGAAACCAAGCCACTGGGTCTGAGACTCGAACCATGGTTGGCCATGTGAGAGTCTAGCACCTTAACCATTGCACTACCTGCCAGCCCCGACACATTTTTGCATAGAAACACATAAAAAATTACATCATGCCTTTTCCGACGACCCAGTATATCAAAAGTTTTCTGCGTGTGCTTGCTGGAGAGAGAGTGGGAGAGTGTGAGAAAGCACCCCCTGAGGGATGACCACGGTCTCTTCTCCTCCATTCTTCTCTCAGGATTTTGAGCGCACACACACGTGCCCTCAGTATTTTTTTCAAGCCACCCTGGGACTTGAACCACACCACCAGCCATGTGGGATCCAGCTGCCTTAACCACCATGCCGCTGGCTGGCCCAACTGGTGTATCTTTCAAGCCATCGAGGCTGGGATTCAAACCATGGTTGGCCATGTGGGATCGTGCTCTCTTAACCACTGGCTGTGAGCTGGGCCCCTTTCTCCGCTTCTCCATCCTGTCGGGATTTGGGGCGCCTGGTGCCCACACACATACCTGGCATGCTTTTTGAGCTGCCAGGGCTAGGATTCTAACCACATAGTCAGCCATGTGGGATCTGGCTTCCTTAACCATTTGGTAACAGGGATGGCCTAGTGTTACTTTTAAAAATAGTCCCTCTCAGTGACTGAGTCACTCAGTGGCAACTCAGTGACTGTTTGCTAGAGGCGGAGCTTAGTGTAGAAGTGTCACCTCATCTGGCCCCTTCAGGACCGAACGAGGCACGCAGGCTCCAGCTGTCCTCGCTGTACAGATGGGGTCGGGTCACACCCGAGTGTGGCAGGGCTTGAACCCAGGCCTATGTCTCAGGGCCAGCCTGAGTGCCCGTGGGATGGCGTCTCTCCCTACCAGACGCTGAAGAATACAAAGATGAAAGGGACCCAGAAAGAGGAAATTAATAAAAAGGTCACAAATCCAGAAAGAAGCCCAGGAAACAATAGCACATGGTTTGGGGATTATGGCTAGATTCTCTGTTTTCCTGGGTTGCATTCAATAAGAAAAATCTGGGTTAAAATTTAGATTACAGGGAAAAAGGCACTGAGATGTTGGTAGAGGAGAAGTCAGGGGTTTAAGGAACCCCAGAGAGCCAGAGAACCTGAAAGCATTTGAAAGAACTACATACACTGTGGGAAGGGAAGGGAAATGTTTTGATGTTTTGAAATGGGGTGGGGGGAGCAGGTGGTGTAGAGGTTGAGGCACTGGATTCCCATATGACCAGCTGTGGTTAAGTCCCTGACCTGGTGACTTGAAAATCATGCCAGGCACATGTGCGTGCATGTCCAAAATCCCAAGAGGAGAATGGATGAGAAGGGATTGTGGCATGGCCATTCCCCCTGAGGGATGTGTGATTTTTCGCTTTCCCTCTCTGTCCTGGAACGTAAATAAATTTAAAAAGACAGAAACAAGAAGGATGCAGGTCAAAGCCAGGCTTGCAGGGGAAATAAAGCCGGTCCAGTCTAGGCCTGGAGGCTTGTGGGACCTCACCAGGGCCATGACCTCCCTCCTGGACTGAGCCATGTCCTCCACCTTCCAGGTCCCGTGGGCCACGCCACCACCCCCAGGGCTGGGAAGGCGCCTGTACTTGGGCGCAGTTCCTTTCCTGCGGAGCTGGACTCCAAAGGCAAGGACTGGGATGGCATTTTTCATGGGGAAGAGGGGGAGCGACAGAATGGGAGAAGTTTCTAGAATGAAGAAAACAAACCTGCAGGCAGCCATAGGTTTGGTGTAAGGTCTGTTTGCAGGCGGCCTCACCTAAGGGCTTTTCACACTGCAGCTGCTCAAGGAGGGACTGTGGGGCAGGCACAGACAGTGTTGGAGTGCTCCTTCCTCCTCCCCAAAGTGCTTTCTGCCCTCGGGCCTGCCTTGGGGGCCTCTGCGGGGTACCCACTCCAGCTTCCTTCAGCCACACCCTCCACAGGAACAGCAATTGATGTCCTAAAGCCCTTGTCTCACTGTGGAGCGTCCCGGGAGTTAGTCCATGACTGGAGCTGTCTTTCCACAGTGTCCAGGTTCGGGACCAGCAGTCGGCGTAATGTCTATGTCTCTGGACTCATGTAGTCAACCGTAGTTCGAATCCCAGACCCGGTGGCTTAAACTCATGCTGGGTGCGTGTGTGTGCTTGCTCAAGATCCCAAGAGGAGAATAGAGGAGAAGGGATTGCGGCATGGCCACCCCCCTCCCCGGGGGGTGATTTCTCACATTCTGTCTCTTTCTCTCTCTGTCTTTCTGGTGAGTGCACATGTACTATAACGAAAACAAAACAAAACAAAAAACAACAAAAAAATTCTCAAAATAAAAAAATGCAAAAACAAAAACCACAGTGTCCAGGCTTGACTCACATCCCGCGTCCTAACCAGGCATGCACGGCAGTTGAAGGGCGGGGAGACGGGAGCTGTGGAGAGAGCTCTGCTGCCAGTGTCCCTCGAAGGCCGAAGGCTGTCACCGGGGTGGAGCCGTCAGCACGAATGCTCCATCAGATACCTCCATCAGATACCAGGTTCTGGGCCGGGCGGCCCTCAAGCTGCTGCAGAGAGGGCCGGTCCGATGCGCTCTTGCCAGCGCCCCAGAGCCTCCGGATCTCAGCGAGGAGAGCCCCAGAGTGAGTGCTCGAGCACAGCCACCGCCGTTCGCGCATAGGAAATGGCCGAGAGCGAACGGCAGGAGCCGGCCGAGAGCCCAGCTTGTACGCCCCTTTACCAGGTCGTGCCCTGTGCCACGCGTTCCTATCTTTGTGACCAGTGTGGTTATCGGCCTGTTGTGGCTTCTGGCCATGGCGGCTTATCTGAGTGGTTCAAGCAGGCCGTTTACCCAGGCCTGCAAAAGCAGCCAGGCTGTTAGAAACGTCTGTGAACGCAGTCAGGGAAGCGTGTTTGTCCAAGTGTGTCGTTGTGAAGGCATAGGAGGGCCGTTTTAAGAGGTGCTCTGTATGCTTATAAATACTCCACTCCCTTGTTTCTGTCTTTATTGACTGTCCCTGGAGGGTCAACCTTGGTGTGCTGGCTCTGACCTGAACACCAAATTTCCCTTCCCTGAAACCTAACTCTGATGGCTCTGTCGCTCAGCTCCTGGTGGCTTTGGGAAGGAGGCTGGGGGTCGTCCCACTTAACCTTGCTGGGCCCGGTGATCTTGGACTGATAATCTCAGAGGCCCGTTTCTCTATCAACCAAACAGCAGCACAGCCCTCAGTGTTGAAGGATTAAGTCGGATGGCATCTCTCTGAAGGGCTTGGCTAGTGAGACTTTGCAAGATGGCGGGATTGACATTCTCTTGGCTACAAATTTATTACTTGGTGGGGCAGCAGGTGTCATAGTGGTTAAGGTGCTGGACTCCCACATGGCCAAGCACGGTTCGAGTTCCGAACCTGGCAGCTTGAAACTCACACTGGGTGGGGCGTGGATGTGTACAAAATCCCGAGAAGGAGAAGGGATTGTGGCATGGCCATCTCCCCCCCGGGGGTGATTTCTCTCTTTCTGTCTCTCTGTCTCTCCAGCAAGTGCGTGTACCCTAAAAAACTTTTATTACTTGGTGTATATTGGTAGTCCGGCTCGTGCACCGCCCCAATGCCAAAATCACAATCCATGGAAAGTCAGGACTCAGAAATGGAGTCCTTTTTTCTTAGATTTTTACCATAGAGTGCTTGTGCTTGCCAGAGAGAGGGGACAGTGAGAAGTCACAGCCCTAGAGAGGATGGCCACACTGAGATCCCTGCTCCATTCGCTCAGGGTTTGAGCATGCCTGCACATGTGCCTGGAGTGGTTTTCTTTCTTTCTTTTTTTTAACTTAAAGAATTATTTATTTTTATTTATTATGATTATTTTTTAATTTGGCCAGAGAGAGACAGAGAGGGAAAGTGAGAAAGCAAGCCGCCAGGTCCAGGACTTGAACTGTGGTTGTGCATGTGGGAATCCAGCACCCTAGCCACCACGCCTCCTGCCGGCCACAGCCTAGTATGATTTTCAAGCTGCCGGATCTGGGACTCAAACCATGGCAGGCCATATGGGAAGGATCCCAGTGCTTTAACCACCACACACCTGCTGGCCCCTGGGGCTCCTCTCATTTCTGCCAAAGTCTTTAGACTTAACTTGTGAAAGGTGGAAGTGTCAGCTACAACAGGGACCTGCCTGTCGGGACACAGTATCCGCTCCACCGCCTCTAACCCCTGCGGGTGGAAGGGCCGGTAGTGTAGACTCAGTAAATGACCACTCTTGCCTTCCCCGCTCCCGCAGACAGCCCTGCGTTGACTTCCAGTCCCAGGTTAGCTGTGACCCACAAGAATGGGCTTGACCACCCACCCAGTTTGTGTGGAGTGCGACTCGGATGACCGCTTTCCAGCACTGTCGAATTAAATGCTGACACAGGGCCCGGCACCTCGTAAACTCAGTAAGCACAGAGGGCAGGTGGCTGTTATTAGTTCTTCACAGGACTGCTGCAGAGCTGCAGAGATCAAAGCGGCGGGCGCATTGACAGTGCGTCTAAGCGTCAGGCCGACCCGTGGTGGTTCTGAGGTGTTTCGAACCTGTCGTGTATGCTGCACTTCGTGTCTCCAGGTGTTTGGGGAGAAGCAGGGAAAACAGTAAGACGATGAGGGGGACGAGTGGGTTTCCTCCAGGCCCTGGAGGAAGCGAGTGCACACCAATGGTTGCAGGTCACCGTGATGAAAGAAGGGTGCGCTTCTGGGTTACAAATCCCAGCTCTGCGGGGGTGGGGGGCGGGGGGATGCCACTGATGTGGTCGCTTTATAGTCCTGCCAGGACCGAAGGGTGGCACTGGCTGATGCTTCCGGCAGGAACAGAAGAAAGCAGCTTCTACTGAGCACCTGGGAGCGAAAGGGAGGGTTCCTTTCTTCCCTGCCCCTCTCGGCCTTTGAAATGCCCCTCCACGTCCTCATGGTCACAGCTGCATGGTCCCTGTGCCAGGCGCGGCCTGCTCTGGCTGCCCCTCTGCTCTCTCCCCTCCCGGGATTTGCCCTCTGGGGCTGTGGCTTCCGCCTCCAGGCTGTACTCTCTAAAGCGATTGAACTACATTTTCTCACCCATTTAAGGAAACCAGGATTTCGTAAACTCCTTGCTCACGGCTTACTGAGGCCCTTTCTGGCATATGTGGCTTTTTTTGGCCTAAAGAATGTTCTGGGCTTGAGGGCCTAAAAGAGAGATTTTCTACATCCGAGAATGAGAGGGCAACTTCTCCCAGCCCTCACCATGCAGGCCTCGGACTAGGCAGCCCCTGTGCGGCCAGGTGAGGCCGTGCCATCTCCAGGCTAGGTGAGCTGGGGACTGTGGACCCTGCCCTTCCTGTCCCAGAGCTGAGAACAGTCCCTGCCTGTTCCCTGACCTTTGCTTATCTCCCCCATCCTCCAGCCCAGGTCCTCTGTGCCTGGGGCGCTCCCCTCTCTGAACTGGAGCTTTCCAGCTCTTCCCTTCCCTGGCCTCCCCTCCCCTTCTCCGCTAAACCACTCTGCTAGTACTCTGCCCCAAACGGTCCTGTCTTTAGTCTTCAATGTTTATCTTCTTTTCTATTTCAAAATTTTTTTTTAATTGCTAGAAGATGTGTGTGCGCACCAGAGAAAGAGAAACGGGGGTGGAGGGTGAGAGAAAGCCTCCCCCCCATAGTAGGGCATGTCACGCTGCAGTTCTTTTCCCTCCCTCCATCCCTTCAGGATTTGGGGCACATAGGCACAGGCGTTTCACATTGCCAGGGCTGGAATTTGAACTATGGTCAGTCATGTGGGTCCCGCTCCCCATGCACAGGACTTAGGCACCGTGCTATGGGGTGGGGGACAATGCATTAGTCGTCCCTCAAACTGCTGGAACGCTGTGCTGAGCAGGGGCAGTTTACCCAGAATCTCAGCACTGGGGTCCAATGGAGGCACGGGGTACGTGGGACACTGCGGAGGTGACCTGCGGGGGAGGGTATCAGCTCCCATTTAGATATGACCCTGAGCTCGCCCTGAACTCGCGGGGCGCGTGTGCTCATGGTCTGGGCTGGCTGCGGAGGGAGGTGGACCACCCACTGGGACCCTGCTGGGGGTGTTCTCCGTTCTCGCTCATGGAAGAAATAGACTTAAGGAGCCAACAGGCAGTGTGGTGCTTAAGGGCGCTGGACTCCCACATGGCTGACCGCGGTTCAAGTCCCGGACCTGGTGGCTTGCTTTCTCATTTTTTTCCTCTCTCTCTCTCACTCTGTCCCTCTCTGGTCAAATAGAATGAAAGAAAGAAAGAAATGAAGTTAAATAAAATAATTCTTTAAAAAGAGAGAGAGAGAGCCAGCCATGTGGTGTGTTGGTTGGGGCACTGGATCCCACGTGCCTACTGAGCTGTTCAAGTCCTGAACTCGGTGACTTGAGAAACACACCGGGCACATGTGTGTGCATGCCCAGAATCCTGAGAAGAGAGTGGAGGAGAAGGTATTGGGGTGTAGTTATCCCCCCTGAAAGGGGATTTCTCTCTCTTTATGGCAAGTGCATGTGCCCTATAACAAATTTTAAAAGAAGAAAATATAAAAAGACAAAACCTACAGCTACTTTCCCACACATTAATAAAATATTAAAATCTCAGCATTGAAGGGACCTCGGTGGTCATTTAACTGGGCACACTTTCCCACGCTGAGTTGCCCAGAGAAGCCTTCCCAAGGTGCGTCCTGGATCGCGGAGAGCGCCTTCTCCAGTGGAAAGTCCCTAAACGCAGGGGACTGTGGTCAGATGAGTCTGTGTCTGTTTCCCTTTTGTAACTTTTGGACACGTGACAGCATGGAATGCTCTGGAAAGTTCCGTGCTGAAGAAACCTGTTTACTTTGACTGGGACTCCGTGTAACAGAGACCGCCTCTCCCAGACTGTTTGTAAGAAGCTCTCCTTACTTCTCAGGTCTAGTTCTTTTCTTTGGAGAGGTTTTTGCTATAGGGCGTGTGCACTCGCCAGAAAGACAGAGAGAGACATTGAGACAGAAAGCGAGAACTCACCCCCCAGGGGGGATGGCCACGCCGCAGTCCCTTCTCCTCCATTCCCCTCTTGGGATCTTGGGCACGCGCGCACGTGTGCCCGGCATGAGTTTAAGTCACCAGGTCTAGGACTCAAACCATGGGAGTCCAGTGACATAGCCATCATGCCAATTGCTGGTCCCTTCACGTCTAGTTCTAATCGTCTGTTTTGCCAGAAGGCTCTTCCTTGCCTCTAGCTAAAGCCATCAGCATTTGAAACTTTCTCTCCCAAGCCAGATGCCCTGGCGTCTCTCTGCCTGTCCTTGGGGGTCCATGCGCTTCTTGGGTACCTCCCCTGACCAGCCCTCGGCCTCCCTGAAGCGTGAGGTCTGAGTGGAGTGAAGAACAGTCAGAAGTGGGTCAAATTGTGGCTGAGGCCATGTGGGAAGCCCAGTTCAGTTCCTGCCCAGCCTACGATACATAGGCATAGGCTGGGCGTGTGGTCCACACCCGTGGTCCTAGCGAGCCAGGAGACTGGGGCAGCAGGGTCGTGACATGCTGAGACCCTGTCAGAGACCCTGGTACCTCTCTCACACACAGAAGTCAGCGAGCCTATGATCCAGCAGCCCTGCCCTTGGGAACACACCCCAGAAAGTTGGAACATTTATTCACACAAACTTGTGCACGGGGCTGGCTTCTTGGTCCAGTGGCAACAGGCTGCCCGAGAGAAGCTGGATCCGCTTGGTGACTGTGGTTTGAACCCCAGCCTGCTCAGCCTGAGCTACACCAGAACACGTGTGCAAGCGCTCCAGTTCTGGTGGGCTGGAGGACTGGAGGAACAGGACTGCAGCATGGCCAGGCTCCTCTGCCTCTCTCTCCCTCTCCCTCTCTCTCTCTCCCTCTCTTTCTCTTTCTCTTTCTCTTTCTCTTTCTCTTTCTCTTTCTCTCTCTGCCTCTCTCATCATGTGTACACATGCACTCTAAAAACACTTGTATATGAATGATCAAAGCAGCATTATCTGGGACCAGCAGTTGGCGTAATAGCTATGTTGCTGGCCTCCCATGTAGTCAACTGCAGTTTGAGTCCTGGACCTGGTGGCTTAAACTCACGCCAGGCGCGTGTGCGTGCGTGCTCAAGATCCCGAGAGGAGAATGGAGGAGAAGGGATTGCGGCGGCCATATCCCTGGGTGGGGTGATTTTTCACTTTTTGTCTTCCTGTCTCTCTCTGTTCCATCCGGTGAATACACATACCCTATAGCAAAAAAGTCTCTCTCTCAAAAAAAAAAAAAAAAAAAAAAAAAAAAAAGAATTATCTATTTAATTTTATTATTATTATTTTAAAATTTGCTATATGACACATGTGCTCACGGGTGCGGGGGGTGCGGGGGGTGGGGGCAGGGAGTGAGAAAGCTAAGCCCTAAGTCTGGGATCACAGTCGGTCATGTGAGACCCCAGGGTCTTTTTTTTTTTTTTTTTGGAGAGATTTTCGCTGTAGGGCGCGTGCGCTCACCAGACGGACAGAGACATTGAGACAGAAAGTGAGAAATCACCCCCCAGGGGGGATGGTCACGCCGCAATCCCTTCTCCTCCATTCTCCTTGGGATCTTGGGCACGCACGCACACGCGCCCAGCGTGAGTTTTAAGCCACCGGGTCTGGGACGCGAACCGCAGTCGACTACGTGGGAGTCCAGCAACATAGCCATTACGCTAACTGCTGGTTCCCTGGGTCTTAACCATCGTGCCACCTGCTGGCCCCAGCAAAAATCTTAACAAGAAGAGGGGGTTGGGGGCCTACTCAAATGGCCATCATCTGATGAATGGGTACAAAATATAGCATATTTATGTAGTTGAGTGTCCTTGGCAATGAAGGATAAAGTGCTGATTATAATGCTACAAATGAATGAACTTTGCAAACGCCATGCCGGGTGAAAGAAACCAGACAGAAAGGCCTCCCTGTAAGATTCGTGTGTTTACATGCAACACCCAGGAGGCAAACCCACAGAGACAGACAGGTCAGTAGTTTCTCTGGGCCGGGGGAGGGGAAGAGAGGAATGCGGGGTGACTGCTAACCACTCTGGAGTTCTTTTTGGGGTGAGGAAGATGTTCTGGAATCAGCTAGTGATGGTGGTTGCACAACTTTAAGGATATTTGTGAATATCCTAAGAGCCAGTAAAATGCACAATTCTTTTTTTTTTTTTTTTAAAGGCTTTTGCCAGGGCACATGCGCTTGCTGAAGAAAGAGACAATGAGAGGGAAAGTGAGAAATCACCCCCAGGGGGGAATGGCCACAATGCAGCCCCTTCTCCTCCATGCTCCTCTTTAGATTTTGGACACACTTGCACATGTGCCTGGTGTGTTTTTCAGGCCTCTGGGTCCAGGACTTAAACTGCACCGCTAGGTATATGGGATCCAGTTGCCTTAACCACCACGGCACCTCGCTGGCCCAACCTTTACTTTTTAAGTTTTTGCTCAGGGTATGTGCACTCACCAGAGACAAAGACAGCGAGAGTGAGAGTGAGAAATCATCCTTCAGGGGTATGGCCATGCACAGTCCCTTTCCTCCAATGTCTTCTTGGGATTTGGGGCGTGCGTGCGCACGTGCCCTGCTGAGTCTGGGTCTCGAACCACAGAGTGGCCATGTGGGATCCAGTGCCTTAACCTCTAGACCATTTGCTGCTTGTCCCCCCCTTTTAAAGTAAAACAGCAGGTAATTGGGATCCATCACCGAGTCATTTTTAGCAAACTTATGGAAATCATTGCTTCCTTTTTTAAAGAGCTCACTAACCACCCTTTGACTATGTAGTTGTGGGCTGGTCCATCGCGACTCTCGTGTTCTGTCCACTTCCTGGGAGCCCAGAAGCACTTAACTTGTTACCAGACCTGGGACACTTGTCTCACCCTCTAGGGCTCCTTAAAGCTGCTCCCCACCAGCCACCTGGGGATCTCGCTTGTGTCCCTTAGTACCGTGCAGTGTAACTCCTCCCGCAAGGAGGCTGTACCCTGTGGGCATGCAGAGCTGCTGCCATGAAAACTCCCCAGCAGGGAACCAGCAGTTAGCGTAATGGCTATGTCGCTGGACTCCCACGTAGTCTACTGCGGTTCGCGTCCCGGACCCGGTGGCTTACAACTCACGCCGGGCGCGTGTGTGTGCATGCCCAAGATCCCGAGAGCAGAATGGAGGAGAAGGGATTGCGGTGTGACCCTCCCCCCTGGGGTGCGATTTCTCGCTTTCTGTCTCTATGTCTCTCTCTGTCTGGCTAGTGCACGCGCCCTACAGTGAAAATCTCTCCAAAAAACAAACAAACAAACAAAAACCTCCCCAGCAGAAGAAGGCGGCCAGCGCCGAGTGCCAGAGCAGAGCTTGCACAGCTGCCACGGGAGGGTGGGGGCAGGGGTGGCTCCCTGAGCTCAGGGGCACAGGACAGCCACAGTGAACAAGTAGGCAGGGGCGTGGTGGGTGGGCAGAATGGCATGAGCTGATCCGTGGCTGGAATGGAGCCTGTCAGGGTCACTGGGCCTCCTCTCCAGCATGGCTTTGTGGGTCTTACATACCACCGGCCCACAGCGCTGGGTCTCCAGCCACCCACTGGCTACATTTCTTGTGTATGGTGGGTGGCAGGTAGTGGTAGTGTTCCCAAACAATGATGGGTTTTTGTAATTGGGGTGTGTGATGGGAGGAGATGGATAGCGAAGAAGCCTGACTTGCTTATTTAATTATTTTTATAAAAATTGTTTTGTAAAAATTGTGGTAAAATACACATAACATAGAAAAGATCATTTTAACCCTTGCAGGGTACAGTTCAGTAATGCTGAGCACATTCACGCTGCTGTGCTCCTACCACCAGCATCACCACCGTCCAACTCCATCCGGCCGTCAGCGTCTGCCCTGGGCTTAGCTCGATCTAAGAGGAAGCAGAGAGAAAGAGACAGAGAGACAGAGCAGCAGTGGACACAGGTGGCCTGAGCCTAGGGAGCCCGAGCAACTTGTGCCACCCAGACAAACTGGGAGCCTTTATTTATAGGGCAAGGCGACACTACCTACGTGTATTTCATGACATTCCGTAGATACGTTGACATGTTACATGCAATAAGAAGCAGGTAACAAATATGTAAGGGCTTAGAGTACTGGGCCAGGTGTAGTGATACCTCCATATCAAAGAGAAATCCCCATAACCTTCTTATCTAGTGGAGAGAAGCCCAGCTGCAGGTGTGGGGAGGATACTTAAAACATCAAAGGGGTATTGATAGGGCTAAAGAATCTCACAGAGGCAGAGCAGGGGTTGGACTTCGCTAATTGGGCTCAGGATGTTTCCTGAATTCCATTGGAAGGCCCCTAGCAATTTCCACCCTTTGCTCTGCCTGCAGCAAAGGTCAAGGAAAGGACAAGCTGCAAGGTCCTGTCATAGCCAAAAGAGACAGGTGGTGTTTGCACAGAGCATGTCCCCACACCCTCAGGGCCTCTCTCCAAACATGTCCCTATATCCAACCGTCACTATCATCACCACCATTCAACCCCATTTAACCATCACCACCATCACCACCATTGCCACCATCACCACCATTCAACTCCATTCAGCTGTCACCACCATCCAACCACACCCAACCATCACCATTACCACCATCCAACCCCATTCGACTGTTACCACCATAGCCACCATCAACACCATCCAACCACATCCAGCCATCACCATTACCACCATCCAACCCCATTCGACTGTTACCACCATAGCCACCATCAACACCATCCAACCACATCTAGCCATCACCACCATTACCACCATCCAACCCCATTCGACTATTACCACCATAGCCACCATCAACACCATCCAGCCACATCAAATCATCACCACCACTGAACTGCATCCAACCGTCATCACTGTTGCTACTATCGTCACCATCCAACCATTTTCACCAAAACCACTGCTCAACCCATCCAGCCATCACCACTATCACCCTCACCCAATGGCATCCAACTGTCATCATCATCACTACCATCCAACCCCATCCACCCATCACTACCATCCTACCCTATCCAACTTGTCATCGGTAGAACCATGTCATCCCAAGCTGAACCTCTATCCATTAAATGCTAATTCCCTATTTCCCCCTCTTCAGGCACCTGGTAACCACTCTTTCGCTTGCTGTCTGTGAAATCGACCACTCTAGGGACTGAGATGAGTGGGATCCTGCAGTATTTTTCCTTTTATGATTGGCTTTCTTCGCTTAGCATAATGTCCTCAAGGTTTACCCATGTTGTAGCATAAGCTGGAATTTCTACCTTCCCCCTTTTAAAAACAGATTTCTTTCTTTCTTCTTCTTCTGAGAGAGAAATACTCCCAACAGCATATTCACGCCACCATCCATGCCCAGTCTCAACCAGCCTGGATTTCGGGCACGTGTACACGTACCTGGCATGTCTGAGTAGGTCCCAGGACACAAACATGGGACTTTCTCATGTGGCCCAGTGTCGTGTTAGCATGGCACCACTGTCTGGCCTACTCTGTCCTTCTGAGGCTGAGTAGTTGTCCATCGCATCCACACAGCACGTCCTGTTGTGTGGACAGAGCCGTCTGTCCATCTGTCTGGCCTACTTCGTCCTTCTGAGGCTGAGTAATATTCCACTGCATCCACACACCACGTCCGTTGTGTGGACAGAGCCGTCTGTCCATGCGTTCATCTGTGAACACTTGGATCGTTTCCACCTTTTGGCTGTTGTGAACTGGTTTGTGTTTTGAAGTCAGGTGTTTGTCCCCAAGCAACAAGGGTCTCTGGGTAGCAGAAAGTAGGGGGACTTGGAGGAAGGTGAGCCAAGTCTGTGAGAAAACCCTGCAGTGGGCCAGGTTTGTAGGAGGGGATGGGGTTAGGGTACCAGGTGGGCAGAGGCTGAGAAGCAGAGGACATTTGGCTCTGGGAGTAGGGGCCAGGACTAGACCCCACACCTGGTGAGGCTGGGTTTGTTTCTAGGCGAGAGGCTGGGGGTGGCTATTAGAGGACAGAGCCAGGTGCCAGTCACCATCACTACACAGATGTGACTGCTCAGACCTGGACATCAGATGTGACCAGAGGGCAGAGCGCAGAACCGGAGCTGGGATCGGGCCAGAGCAGAGGGCAGGAGGGTTGTCAGAAATGGGTGTGAGCAGTGACCAAGAGGGGGATCCTGGATTCATCCACACTGGTGAAGGTGTCCCTGCTCCTCCTCCACTCAGGCCCTGTATTGGGGGTGCTCTGTTGATGCTGGTTGGCCCATGTGGGATAAACCAGACATGTTTTCTTTTTTTGAGAGGTTTTTGCTATAGGGTGCGTGCTTACCAGAAAGACAGAGAGAGACAGAGAGACAGAAAGTGAGAAATCACTCTCCCAGGGGGATGGCCACGCCGCAGTCCCTTCTCCATTCTCCTCTCGGGATCTTGGGCACACATGCACACATGCCCAGCGTGAGTTTAAGCCACCGGGTCTGGGACTCAAACCATGGTGGACTACATGGGAGTCCAGCGACATAGCCATTACACCAACTGCTGGTCCCAACCAGGCATGTTTTCACCTTTGAAAAACTTCCAGCCTAACTGAGAAGATAAAGCCACATGCTGCGAGGTCCACTTCGAGTTGTACAAAGGCATTTCGAGGAGAGAGAGGTCCCTTCTGATGAGGTGGCCTGGGTGGGCTTTGCTGTTGTGTAGGAGGAGGTATTTAAGGCACTTTTCAATCTTGAGACCCAAAGAATTCCACGTGTAGGAGACTGACAAGTGTCCCTCATCCTGGACCCTGCAGGTATGACGCTGGACGGGATGGCTTCATCGACCTGATGGAGCTGAAGCTGATGATGGAGAAGCTGGGGGCCCCCCAGACCCACCTGGGCCTGAAGAGCATGATCAGGGAGGTGGACGAGGACTTCGATGGCAAACTCAGCTTCCGGGAGGTACCAAGCCCCCGGGGGTGCCCAAGGGGACCCGCAGACCCACAGTCTCCTGGAGTACAGTGCATTTGCCCCTTGAGAGCACTACTTGAACAGTTAACCTACTATTCTCCCTAAAAAACATATTTTTAAGGAGCTAGGGAGCCACAGTGCTGGCCTGGGGAAACGCTCAGTAAGCCAGTGAAAAGCAGTGTGAGTAACAGAGCTTCGATGGGCACACGGCAAGAAAGCTGGGCCCATGTCCACCAAGACAGTCACAGTGGGCGTTGTGGGTGCAAAGTTTCATGATGTTGTACTTCTTTTGTTTTGTTTGGTTTTGTTTTGTTTTTTTTGGAGAGGTTTTTGCTATAGGGTGCATGCGCTCGCCAGAAAGAGAGAGACAGAGAGACAGAAAGTGAGAAATCACCCCCCAGGGGGGATGGCCATGCTGCAATCCTTCTCCTCCATTCTCCTCTTGGGATCTTGGGCACACATGCTCACAGTTTAAGCCACCGGGTCTGGGACTTGAACCATGGTCGACTACGTGTCCCCCTCATGTATTTTTAAAGTTTGCATCTTTCTTTCTTTCTTCCATGAGAAAGAGGCAGCACCCCCAACCTCCGATGCCGCGATCGACCCCGTTTCCGCCCCAGTTCTTGGGCACACGTGGCTGATGTACTCAGGGAGGTCTCCAGACCTGAATCCAGAATTCTCCCATGTGGGCGGGCCTTGCAGAGCGTTGCTTTACCACTGCCTCTGCCTGGCCCCTCCTTGGGTTTCTGAGATATCCTTTTACTATAACGAATGCCTCCTTAAAAAAAATTGGCAAAGGGCATGTGCACTTGCTAAAAACAGAGAATAAGAGGGAAAGTGAGAAAGTACCCCCGTGGAGATGGCCACACTGCAAGCTCCTCTCTGTACCTCCCTTGTGCCAGGACTTGGGCACACATGCACGTGCGTCCAGTGTGTGACTTGAACCTGCAGTCACCCATGTGGGATCCAGCCACCTTACCCACCAGGCCACAGACTGGCCTGAAGACCTCCTTTTTTGCTTAAACCAACAAGTTGGTTTCTGTCTCTTGCAATCTGGGAGCTCTAAGCAAAGCAGGGAAAAGCGTATCAGGAGCAAGGATCGCTCGGGTCTGAAAGAGCCTTTCAGCTCTGGCAGGCCCCTCTCTGTCCCTTTGTTTTGCACCCGTCCCCCTGCCCCCATAGTCACTCCAGGACGTTTTCCAATTCTTCTACAGCATGCCAGGCTTTGTGGGCTATAAATAGGAAGACAAACAAGGCCGGGCAGTTGGAGAAATTGTCATTCAGGGGCGTCAGTGACTGTAATAAAATTAAATGGAAGGCAGGACATTTTCAGGTCGAGCTGAATTTTTTTCCTTTAACTTGGTTCGGGTTGGGGAACCCCCTAGTTAGGACAGAGTGGCTGGGGGGGGGGGGGGCCCCCCCCCCCCCCCCCAGTTAGTAATCAACTGTGCTGGCAGTGGATCAGAATTAGCCCAGAGTGTTCAGAGGGAACAGCCTTGGGGAAGGCCTTAAGGTTTCCAGTCCACAAAGCCCTTCTGTAAACATCGATACACTGTCCCCTTGGCTTTGGGTGTGAGAAAACCTGGTTTTGGGGACAGAAAGAGGGGCCACTGGAGGCAGTTGGGCTGGTGCTGGGCTCGGGGTGTGCCCCCTGCTTTCTGAGCTGCTCCCTGGGCCCAGGAGCGTGGCTGGGCCGGAGGGGCTACCTGTTCCTGCTCCACGCTTGCTCCCGGGAGCGATGAGGTGAGGGCCTCCTGTAAACCGAATGCTGGGAGGATGGGGAGGGTTTGCAGCACTGGCCTCCATGAGAGCTTGACCTCCTCTGTTCCCCAACTGTCCTTGGCCCCGGTCCTACTGGAGCTTGGCCTCCTTTAACAAGCTCCTTTTCTTTCAGACCGATGTTTGGGCCCTGATCGTCGGCAGCACACAGTCTTTGCCGGCCTCTAGTGAGAGAGTTTGAAGCTGCAGGCAGGTGCTTGTGGCGAGATTCTGCGGATCCCCGCTGACCACGGCAGCCTCAGCGAAGCTCCCAGTCCTTGGGCATCTTGCTTCTTCCCTTGATTTGTACTTGAAATTGTCACAGTACAATTAGAAAATGAAATGAGAAATGCAAACACAATTTATTAGCCAGACTCTCCCTAGAATGGAAGCTCCTTCCGGGTTGGCACCAGAGCCTTGGCAGTAAAAGACACCTGAATTGGAATTTGCAAAGCCTGACAGAGCTGTTTAACCTATCGCTCTACCTTAGGCCAGGCTCCTTTTCCCCTGGGAAAGGCAGTTTTTAGGGAAGGTGGTTGTATTTAGGTAGACCCAAACCCAGAGAACAAACCCTCTCTTTCTTTCTTTCTTTCTTTTCTTTCTTTTCTCTCTCTCTTTCTTTCTTTCTTTCTTTCTTTCTTTCTTCCTTTCCTTCCTTCCTCCTTCCTTCCTTCCTCCTTCCTTCCTTCCTTCCTTCCTTCCTTCCTTCTTTCCTTCTTTCTTTCTTCTTTTCTCTCCCGCTCTCTCTTTCTTATTGCTGTAAGGCACAAGTACTCACTGGAGAGAGAGATAGTAAGAGAGAGAAAGTGAGAAATCATCTCTAGGGTGGAGGTGGGGTGCGGGGAGGATGCCATCACACAATCCCTTCCCCCCCATTCCCCCTTGGGCATGCATGTACACTTGTCCAGCATGGTTCTCAAGCTGCAAGCCGCCGGGTCCAGGACTCAAACCTCCTTGTCAGCCATATGGGATCCAGCCACCTTAGCCTTTGTGCCACCTGCTGGTCCCACAAACCCCCTTTCAATGATGACTTGAAACCTATCAGTTTCTGTTCCTCCCAAGTAGAGAAGTAAGTCCCGGGAGATGGATAGCAGCTATTTGACAAGTAAACTCATAAAAATTATTTAAAGAGGGGAACCAAAACGTCACATAGTTGCCTTGAGAGAGGGACAGGAAGACGAAGGAGCTGCCATCGGTGTGGCCACTTCATTTACTGAAAAATGTATTCCGTGGCGGTCTCGGCACAAGTTACCTTCATAGACGCATTGGTCCAAGTCACATTTTGAAACTGGATGAAGAGGATGGATTATTCAATAAATGATGTGGGAGTTACTAACTAACCATTTGGCAGAAAGTAAGGTTAACAATTAACCTCACGAGATAAATCAGAATAAATGACAGAGATTAAATATTTACACGTTAAAAGCAAAGCCATAAAAGTAGTAGACAAAAACATAGAAGATTATTTATGTAACCTTGGTGGGGAGAAACACTTCCTCTTTCTGGAAATGCCAGAGGGCACATGCGTGTGTATGTGACAGAAAGAGGGGGAGAGAGAGCTCCTCCCCGCTGTGAGCCCTCATCACATTGCAATAATTTTTCCTCCAATTCTCCGTCCCATCGGAATCCCGGGTGTGCACACACTTGATGTGATTTTCAGCTGCTGGATCTGGGACTTGAACTCTGGCCAGCCGTGTGGGATCTGGCTTCTTCTGTGCAGTACTTAACTGGTATGCGATGGGGCTGGCACAGAAAGATTTTTCTAAGCATAACATGATGAGAAAAAGGAAAAAGCTAGATTATGTGAAATTGTTACTTTTTATAGAGCATGTGTGCTCTCTGGAAAGAGACAGAGATAGAGAGATGGAAAGTGAGAAATCCCCCTGGGGGACTGGCCATGCCACATCCCTCCTGCTCCATTCTTCTCTTGGGTTTTGGGGCATGCATGTACACACAGTTGCTGGGTCTGGGACTCGAACCACACAGTCGGCCATTTGGGACCCCGTTGCCTTAACCTCTGTACCACCTGCTGGTTTGATATATAAGACTTTTGAAAATGGAATTACCATAAACACAATGACAGATTCTGTGAAGCTCTCTAGCACATGATAAGAAAGATAAATAATGCAAAAATGGGACCCCAAAGGGCTGCAGCCTGGTAGTTAAGGGAATTGGGCTCCACATGGCCGACCACACGGTTCAGCTTTTCCGCCCGGCTGCATAAGAAACAATACACTTGTGTGTGTGAGTGCCCCGATCTGGACAGGCCAGGGAAATGGAGGAGGCTGTGGTGTGACCACACCCCCTTGCCCATCTCCCTCTCTCCCCATCTCTGTGGTGGTGCATGTGCCCGCTGGCACAATTTAAGAAAAGAAAGGAGACCCAAGAAAAATGTAAGTGGTGAAAAGACATTAAAGGTGGATGGGGTAGTGCACACCTGTAGCCTCCGTTCCTCAGGAAGCTGAGGCAAGAGGATCATGAGTTCAAGGCCATCCTGGGCAAAATAGCAAAACTCCATCTGTAAAAAGACCTCAAAAACAAACAAAAAATATTGAAGATTTAAAATTACTTAGGTTGGGGCCAGCAGGTGGCATGGTGGTTAAGGTGCTGGAATTCCCACATGGCTGGCTGTGGTTTGAGTCCTGGTCCTGGCAGCTTGCTTTCTCCCTCTCCCTCTCTCTCTGTCTTTCTCTGACAAAACTCATGTGAAAAATAATATTAACAATAATAATAATAAATAAATAATTCTTTTTAAAAAAATAAATAAAATTACTTAGGTTCCCCTCCCCCCCAAGTTGATATATTTCTTCCATGAAAGAGAGCGGCAACAGGGTCTCTGTGCTGTGTTCTACCAACAGTCCCAGGCTGGTTTGCTCATGGTGGTCCCAGGAATTGAACCTAGGACCCTCCTATGTGAGTCCTATTGTGTTACTATTGTACCATCACCTGGCCCCTAAATTCTTAGTTATTTTATTTTATTATTATTTTTTGTACTCATCAGAAAGACAGAGAGAAAGAGAGAGACAGAGAGAAAGGGAAAGTGAGGAAGTACCCCCGCAAAGGCATGGTCATTCTGCAGTCCCCTCTCCCATTCTCCTCTTGGAACTGTGGGCATGCGTGTACATGTACCTGGTGTGTCTTTAAGCCCCTGAGTCTTGAACTTGAACTACACAGTTGGGCATGTAGGATCCAGTCACCTTAACAATCACACAACCAGCTGTCCCCTAAATTAAAAAAAAAATAAAAGTGATCTATAAGGTTTATTTGCTTTTTCTTTCATGGCTATAAACATTTCCAAGTTTTGGGTGCTTTTCTTTTTTTCCTTTTTTTTGGAGAGTTTTTTTCTATAGGGTGTGTGCGCTCACCAGAAAGACGGAGAGAGAGAGACAGAAAGTGAGAAATCACCCCCCCTCCTGGGGGTGGGGGGAATAGCCACATCGCAATCCCTTCTCCTCCGTTCTCCTCTCGGGATCTTGGCCACGCACACACACACACACGCCTGGCGTGAGTTTAAGCCACCGGATCTGCGACTCGAAATGCGGGTGACTACATGGGAGTCAGCGACATAGCCCTTACACTAACTGCTGGTCCCCAAGTTTTTGCTTTTCTAGATAATACTTAAACTATTATGTGAATGTAGCCAGCAGGTGGCATGGTAGTTGAAGCGCTGAACTCCCGCATGGCCTACTGCAGTTCGAGTCCTCGACCTGGCTACTTTACTTTCTCACTTTCCTTTTCTCTCTGTCTTTCTCTGGTCAAATTTTTAGAATTATAATAACAAGGGCCAGCAGGTAGCATGGTGGTCAAAGTGCTGGACTCCCACATGGCTAACTACGGTTCAAGTACCAGATCTGGCAGCTTGCTTTCTCACTTTCCCTCTCTGTCTCTCTCTGGTGAATTAAAACAATAATAACAAATAAGGACCAGCAGGTGGTGTGATGGTTACATCCCTGGACTCTCACATAGTTGACTGCAGTCTGAGTCCCAGATCCAGCAGCTTAAAACTTAAACCAGGCATGTGTGCATGCATGCTCAAAATCCCGAGAGGAGAATGAGGTGAAGGAATTGTGGCATGGCCATCCCCCCAGGGGGTGATTTCTTGCTTTATGTCTCTCTGGAGAGTGCAGTCACCCTATAGCAAAAATCTCTCTCTAAAATAATATTGATCACAAAATTAAATAAATAATTATTTAAAAATCTATGTGGGAGTATTTCTGAAGGGTCTATTTCAGCAGTGATATTAATGACTGGAAGAGCAAAAAGCATTTTATTTTTGGTAAATGTTTCCAAAGCGCCCACCAGAAATTTGAATCAATTTACACACCCATCAGATAGATAGAAGGGTGCCATTTCCCTGCATTCTTGTGACCACTGGGCACATTTTCGCTTTTGAAATGGAAGGGGAAAATAATCCATTGTCCACACAGAGCTACCCTTTTTTTTTTGGTTATAGGACATGTGTGCTCACCTGAAAGACAGAGAGACAGAGAGACAGAGACAGAAAGCGAGAAATCACCCCTGGGGTGGGGTGGTGGCCATGGCACAATCCCCTCTCCTCCATTCTCCTCTCGGGATCTTGGGCACACATGGACATGTGCCCAGTGTGAGTTTAAACCACTGGGTCTGGGACTCGAACCGCGGTTGACTACGTGGGAGTCCAGCGACATAGTCATTATGCTGACTGCTGGTCCCAACACAGCTACCCTTTTAAGTGTCTGGCAAAACTGCCTTGCGTTTGGGCCCGAGGGGCTTCCTGTGACTCAGAGGCTTGGGCCTGCTCACCCTCTGCCTTTCTTCCTCCTCTAGTTCCTGCTCATTTTCCACAAGGCTGCAGCCGGGGAGCTCCAGGAGGACAGCGGGCTGATGGCGCTGGCAAAGCTCTCCGAGATCGACGTTGCCCTGGAGGGTGTCAAAGGTGCCAAGCACTTCTTCGAAGCCAAGGTAGGTATTGTGGAGCTCTCTCCCCCACCCTGCCAGCAGGACCGCCCTCATCTAGCCCGGTGACTGTCACATTAACTCACTCGGGACGCTGGGACAGCCACGCCTGAAGTATGTACAGAGCTGCGTGATTTATGAGAGGGTTACATCCACATGAAAGCCTACGTCAAAACTATCCCTCAGTTGAAATGTGTGGGACACGCTTGCCCTACCAAACGCCGTAGCCTCACCTAGCCTACCCGAACATGCTCAGAACACCTGCTGGGTGAGTTGTCTAACACAAAGCCTCCTTTGTGACAAGATATTGAATATCTCATGGAATTTATTGATTACTGTACCGGAAGCGAAAAGCAGAAAGGTTGTATGGGGACCTGGAGCAGTTTCTCCTGACTCTGTCTCACTTTTGCACCATGGGAAAGTGAAGAAATCATAAGTCTAAGCGTCGCGAGTTGAGAATTGTCTGTAGAACATGTACATGTGCTAGGTAATCAGAGTGTGTCTGCGAGCCAGCAGGTGGTGTGGAGGTTAAGGGGGCTAGATCCCACATGGCTGACTCCGTGGTTCAAGCCTCACACCTGGCAGCTACAAAATCATCCTGTGCCTGGGTGCCCAAAATCCTGAGAGGAAAATAGAGGAGAAGGGATTGCGGCACGACCGTTTCCCCGGGGTGACTTCTTACCCCCTCACCCTGTCTGTCTCTCTCTAGTGAGTGCATGCACCCTATGGCAAAAACTAAACAAAGGAACAAAGAGAAAAATAAATACAAACCAGAAAAACAACCAAATGGCAAATATGTTGGATCCCGACTTGAGATTCAAACAGCTTTGCTGGTGTTGTGCTCTAAGGCCAATGCCAGAGGGCGGGTGCACAAGTGTGCATGTGAGTACACGAGAGAGGGACAGAGGGAGAGGCCACCACAGCCTGGTCATGCTGTAACCCCTCTTCCTCCGAGTCTCCATCCTGTCGGGATCCTGGGAACATTCCCTTGCACCCAATGTGTTTTTCAAGCTGCCGGGGCAGGAGCTCAAACCCTGGTTATCCATATTGAATCTGGCTTCCTCTGCACAGTATTTAACTGCTGTACTATGGGGTAAGTCCCAAGGTCAACTCCTGATCCACTTTCCCAAAGAAATCCTTTCTTGTTCCTTTTTTTAAAAACCAACCTTCTTTCCTTCTTTCCTTCCTTCTTTCCTCCCTCTCTTCCTCCCTCCCTCCCTCCCTCCCTTCTTTCCTTCCTTCCTTCCTTCCTTCTTTTCTTTCATTTTGACCAGAGAAGGACAGAGAGAGAGAGAGAGAGAGAGAGAGAGAGAGCGCCACCAGATCTGGGACTCAGACCGCTTTATGGGAGTCCCGTTGCCCTTCACCACCACGCCACCTGCTGGTCCCTGAAGAACTCCTTTCTACCCCAAAGCACAGCTGAGATTCTTTGATAGCTCTCTTCACTTCACAGCTTAAACACTTATGTCGTAAGCAGGTGGGCAGCGGGGCCAGAGGAGGCTGGCATGGTTGGCATGGGCAAGTGCTCCGTTGGCAGTGCTGGGAGTTCGGAAGGGACCTCCAGCACCTGTCCCAGAGCCCGCTGGGTGCTTCCATTCCTTCGTGTCCTCATGTGCCACAGACCCTCAGTGAGCCCACCTACAGCCAGCCACTGTCGTTTTCATCTCTGCAGAGTCTGCCTGGAGAAAGAGACCGGGAGAGTCCTCCAAATCCCGACTGACTGGAGCAGCGGGGGTGCAGTGGGGCAGAGCATAGCTCCTGTTCAGACTGCACCCCCTCCTTACCCCACTGCTTCCCTGTGCCTCAGATTATGTAGACCATGGGCGTGACCGTAGGAGTGCTCAGGGGGCTGAATGAGTTTGCCTGAGAGCGTTTAGCAAATGCTTGGTTCACGGTGAGCCTCCGTATGAAGTGAGCAGTTGGGGCCGGCCTCGCTCCAGGCAGGAGCCAGCCTCTTGTGGAGTGGTATCTTGCTCCAGGTTCTTGCCCAGAGATAAGGTGTCCTTGGGCACGTATGTCGGCCTGCACAGACCGCCAAGCACGACCCTGTTCTCACTTCTTGGGAAGCTGCTCAGAGAGAGTCCATCATCCTGCCACGACCACTCCTGAATTCCTCGTGCTCCCGTCTGACAGTGTCAGCAACAGGCCGACCACTCCCTTCACCCGGGACCCCTGCACTGTGTGTCCCAGGGCCTTTCCCCGGAAGGCTTAGTCCTGGTGGGATGGGGCCTCTCCGTTCATGAACCGAGTCGGCGTTTGCACGCCTCCTGTGATGTCTTGGGGAAGGCCCGGGGACTGAGACCTGAGGTCAGCAGGACGCGATCTTCTGTCCACTCTGAGGCCGGCGTGCTACGTTCTCTGGTAGAAAGGGGGATGAGTCTGGAATGTCTTATCTGGGCACTCCAGGCCTGTTACAGTCCGACTCTGACCCCCCATCTAGCTTCATCCAGCCCCTTCAAATGCTACCACGCCTTTTCACACTGGCCCTTAGTACCTGCTGGAAATGCCCAAATGCCTGTTTAGAAAATCGTCTCAGACTCACACGAAGGAGTTGCCTCCTCTGGCTGCTCTCCCTGACTGCCCAGGTTGGGATAGCTCATCCTCTTCTGCTGGCCTTGATTACACGTGGAAATGAAATTTTTTCCTCTTCAAACAAACAAACAAAAACAACTTGGTACAGGGCACGTGCGCTAGCTGGAGAGAGATGGGAGTGGGGAGAGAATGAGAGCGCTCCCCAAGGGAGATGGCTGTGCCTCCGTCCCTTCTCCACTCTTCTCGAGATTATTAGTTTTGTTTAGGTTTTTGCCATATGGCGTGTGTGCTCCTTGGAGAGAGTTAAGGAGAGAGGGAAGTGAGAAATCACTCCCAGGGAGGCGTAGCCATGCTGCAATTCCTTCTCCTCTATTCTCCTCTTGGGATTTTTTTTTCTTTTTTGGGGAGAGGTTTTTTCTTATTGGGTGCGCGCGCTTGCCAGAAAGACAGAGAGAGAGACAGAGAGCCAGAAAGCGAGAAATCATCCCCCAGGGCGGATGACCACGCTGCAATCCCTTCTCCTCTCAGTATCTTGGGCACGCACGCACACACACCTGGCGTGAGTTTAAGCCACCGGGTCCAGGACTCGAACCAAGCTGCAGCTGCGTGTGTGTATGACAGATGTCCAAAGTAAATGTCGCACACGGTATGTTCGAAACCCAGTTTGGTTAAATGTTAATTACACCACAGACCAAGGGGCCAGCAGGTAACATAGTGTGAGGTGCTGGACTCGCACTCGGCTGACCGTGGTTTGAGCCATGGGCCCAACAGCTTAAAAATGATGGCAGACGTGTGTGTGCATGCCCAAAACTCCTGAGAAGAAAATGAAGGAGAAGGGATTGTGGCGTGGCCATCCCCCGGGGGTGATTTCTCTCTGGCCTTCTCTCTGTCTCTCCAGTGAGGGCACACACCCTATTGCAAACCCTCCCCGAAAATACATCCTAGATAATTACATGTCAAAGTATTAGTAATAATTATGTCCGAGGGACTCGTTTTATGTTTCTGTAATGTTTTATAATATGTGCACATTACTTCTATAGCCAGGAGAAAAGATGAAAAGAATAACAATAAAAATGGTCTCACCCAGTCCTGCCCATCTGTCTGCTCCCGCCCAGCCTCTGAGGCAGGTGGGCGTTGTCTGTGTAATGGCAGCGCCTGGCTGTAATGGCCCTCCTCAACACTTGCCTGGGCAGCTCATGGAGCACATGGCCCCATGAATCTGGGAGCGGGCCATAAAGCAGCCGCCGGTGTGGCCGATGTGCAGAGATGAATGGGGATTCACCTAGTAATCAGGAGAGGGAGGGCGTTGCCACCGTGGGAATGCAGGAGGAAGGCTCGGAGGCCTGGAGGGCAAGGCTGTGGGAGCTGGGAGGTGTCCGCGGGAGGGGGCAGGGCTGGCGACGTGGCTGGGAGTGGAAACCAGGAGGAAAGCATGGAGATCAGAGACTGGGCCAGCCTTCCCACCCTTTGGCGCTCCACGCACACACAGAGGTGGCTCTGAGATGGGGTGGCCCTGGACGCACTGTACATGACAGACGGGAGGCTATGGCCTCCCCAAGGCTCAGGGCAACCTCTCTCTGAACACAGGGTTGGAGAGGTCGGACCTTGCTGTGTACCAGATCCACCTGCGGACCAGTTTTCCAGGCCCCTTTCAGACATACCTGGGATTTCTCTAGGGTGGAGCCTAGGGAGTGAGTGTGGCCGAGCTTGGGTGGAATGGGCAGCCAGGCTCGGGAAGCACAGCTGTGGGTGCTGGGGAGCCTGTGAAGCTGTTGGAGCCCGGCCTTGATGCGGGGGCGGTGGCACAGCCAGGATGGACTTGCCTGGGGAGGGGCTGGACTCCGCAGCTTCCAGAGTTGTCTGGAGCAGAGGTCTCTGTCCAGTGAGGGTTGTGACAAGGGGGCTAGTGGGGAGGTGGGGCTGGACTGAAAGCTCTCCAGACTTTGTGTTCATGAGCACGTGATTGGAGGAGGGGGGTGAAGTGCCCTGAGGTTGTAGAACTTTGGAGAAAGTTGTTGATGATCTTTTTTTAAAAGAAGTATTTTATTTAACTTTATTTATTTTAATTTGACCAGAGGGAGACAAAGAGAGAGAGAGAGAAAGATGGAAAATGAGAAAGCAAGCCGCCAGATCCGGGACTCAAACCTCATCAGTTGACCATGTGGAAGTCCAGGACCCTTAATCACCACACCACCTGCTGGCCCTGTTAGTAATATTTTTAATCAAGCGAGGACTCCATCCCCCAAGAATAGGGGTGTTCTGAGGAGGAAGAGTCATAAACTGGGGTTGGGCATCAAGTGTACAGTGACCAGGCACAGAAAAGGCATGGCCCTCCTTCGGGAGAGCATCGTTTCCGATGGTGTCCTGTTGGACAGAACTGGCCACAGCCAGCTGCATGGGAGGCTGCTGTCCTGGGCCCCTGTGTGCCTCGCTGTCACCACGCTGCTAGGAGAGATACTGAGGGTCAAGGGATG